AAAAAAAAAAAAAAAAAAAGAGAAAGGGCATTGCTGAGCTGAGGCTGGAGGGCAGCGGTAGCTCCGCCCCAAAGGAGGGCAGGTGAGGCCCCAGCCGAGCCCATGGGGCAGAGACGGGGAGGGTGCAGAAATGAATCGGGTACACATCCTGCCTGTTTTTTAGCAGGCAGGCATGATATTGGACACATCACTATTAGCTGAACCATCCGAAATTGCCATTCTTGGAGGTAAAAAATGGTGGCATATTAGCCATTTCTTCTGGTTCAACCTGATTTAACACAGATGGAAGGATGAGAAAGGAAGAGAGGGTATTATTTGGAGGTTTAGAAGAAAGAGCAATGAATTCCCACTGGAAGGATTGAGGACATTTACGGAGGGGATTCGAGCTGGGATTGGACGGGACTGATTTGGACGTGGAGGTGGGAATGGGGAGGGCGGCTGGAGGGAAGCAGCAGGGCTATGGGATGGGGTGGCAGCAGGGTGGGCAGCATGGAAGGAGAGGCACGGAGGCTCGGTCAGCCCGCCAACTGCCCACTGGCACCACCCAATGTCAGGTTCTGGGTGCTGAGCTGAATGAGACTCCTTCTCTGCTCTCAGGGGGCTCATGGCACGACAGGGTGGAGGGGGAGCCTGGCACAGAGACGGAATGGTGATCCAGTGTGGCCGGTGTGGGGCAGCCAGATTGAGAGGCAAGCTGAGAAGGAGGAGATGGGAGCCATGGAAAGTGCTGGAGCAGGGGTGTGGCCTGGCCTGGTGGCCGAGCCCGGGAAGGCTGGCTTGGAGGGAGGCCGCTAGGGGGAATGGTTGAGCTCCAGCCCCCTGAGCTTTGCAGCATTTCCTCAATTTCCTGAAGTTGTCTGAGAGTTTTCAAGCAGGAAGGTGGTCATCTTGGTAACCACGGTGGGCATGACGTGGCCACAGTAGATGTCAGTGGAGTCACTTGCCCGAACCCTCCATCTGTGAGGACCCTCAGAGGCTCCTAACTCCCTGCCTGTCTGAGGAAGGGTGACCAGCCAGGTGCTCGGCCGAGCCCCAGGAGCCCAGGTCCCCGTGTCCCTTGACCCTCAGGGATGCGCCTCCTGTGTGCCCGGGCCACGCGCCTGCACCCACCGGTCATTCATGCTATCCTCCTTGGCACAGGCCATCAGCCTGCACCTGGCTTTCTTGGCCAGAGCAGCCACTGACTTCGGGAAATCCTCATTTTCCAATAACCTGGACAGAACAGAAAAAACAACCTCCTTAGTGCCCTTGATTCAGCAGCCAGTGGCCTTGGCTGGCCTCGAGAGGGCAAGCTGGACCCCCTGGGGTGTCTCTAGGGATGGAGCAGGACCTCAGGGCTGGCTGGAGTAGGGGAGGGGCACGGTGGGTGCTCCAAGGCACCTGGAGCCTGGACAGAGACCGCAGCTCACCCTGCCTCTCTGCTTTTAGCAAGCTTAGCTCACTGAACTCTGGTAACAACCCAGGAGGGGAGCTAGCGGGCAGCCTTCCACCGAGGAGGAGACAGAATGAGGAGGTCAGAGCTCAAGGTCACGCCATCTGGATTCGAACCCAGGCCTTGCTGGCTTCCAGCCTGCGTCCTGACCACAGGGTTACATTCTCACCCCTTCTGCCCCAAAGCAGTGGGAAGAGGAGAGGGGAAGGTCCCCCTGTGACCCCGCATGGTTAACAGGGGCTCTCAGACTGCGGGAGGGATGCCAAGCCTCCCCCGGCAACTTGTGAAAGCACAGCTGGGCCCCATCCCGTCCCCAGAGTCGAGACCCAGCAGTTCAGAGGTTGGCCCGGAACATGCATTTTATATGAGTGCCCAGGGGTTTCCGGTGCAGAAGGCTCACAGGCTGCCCTCTGAGGGGACAAATTATTACATATTACAGTTATTATGTGCAGCAGGGAGACATTGAGGGAAATGAGCCCTGGGAAGCTGGCGTCTGGGAAAGCCAGGCTCTCCACATAGAAGTCTGTGCTGTGATGGCCACCCTGGAGCTCCAGGGGGTGAGAGGGATGCTGTGACCCCAGGATCATGCCGTACCTGGAGGGCTGTTTGTCTGCTGGGAGAGAGCAGGGGAGGCTCAGGTCTGCGTCCCTACTTCTGAGACCTTGTCTTCTTGGTGTGTGATGCCTTCCCAAGGCCGTGGCATCTCAATCCTAAGGATCCCTCACAGCTAGAACTGGCAGGAGCCTCCCCTTAGGAGGAAGGGGCTAAAGGCCCCGCCCTCGCCCTCCCGATGGAGGTCCAGGAATGGAGTGATGAGGGTGCCTGAGTCATTCACAACTTTGCAGAAAGTCCAATATACATTATAGTTCATTCATTCATTCATCCATCCATTCACTCCCTATCACCTGCTCTCAGCTGACACCTGGAAAGACCAGGGTGACAGTCACTGTCCTGGTCCCCAGGGAGTGCACAATCTCCTGGGTAAGTAGGGAGGAGCAAAGACAGTCAAAATTACAGATAGTAGTAAGTTCTGGAAGGTCAGGGAAGCCTTCCTGGAGGAGGTGATACCTCCATAGAGGCAAGGAGTTGGTTTGTGGCCAAACCAATGTCAGTCTAATCGCTGAGGTTTGAATGGAAGTCAGATCAAGTTGCGCCTCTGCACAGCCCTCAGATGGCCCCCCACCTCCCACAGACTAGAAGCCACAGTCATTTCCTGCCTCCCTGACCCAGCCCCTTCCCCTCTGGCCTTTCTTCTCCACCCTCATATCCCCCCCCACCCCCAACCCCCGCTTAACCCTTGCATTATGCACTCTAGCCGAGCCAGCCTCCCTACATTTCTCAAGCCCATGGGCACATCCCACCTCAGGGCCTTTGCACCTGTGGTTCCTTTTGCCAGGAGTGCCCTTCCCCTGGGTGTTCCCACACCTCTGTCTGCTCAGTGATACGTTCCGGGGGAAGCCTTCCCCGGCCCCCCTTTCCCACACCCCTCGTTCTCTTCGTCTTAGCTGTTGCATCCTTCTGTGTAGCATTTAATGCCATCTGAGGCACTAGACACTTTACTTAATGATTTTACATATCATTGCTCTCAACCCGCTGAGATGAAAGTGACATGAGGGCAGAGACTTTGTTTTGTTCTTTGCTCTGTGCCCTGTGCCTAGAACTGAGCCCGGCACTCAGTGGCAGGTGCTCGCAAGCCGCTGAGAAGTTACTGATGTCTCTGATCACCAGGTTGTTGGAGAACAAATTATTACATATTACAGTTATTATGTGCAGTCAGCTTGGATTCAAAAACCTCTGTAAACAACAGTCCTGTGTGTGTGTGTGTGTGTGTGTGTGTGTGACAGAGACAGACACACAAAGAACAACTACAACAGTCCTTAGGAGGGAGGTCATTTCCTTCTCAGTGCTCATCCAGCACCAGACATCATCTTGTTTTCTGCATTTTTTCTGGTAGTAGGCAGAGATGTCCATCGTGCTCACTGCTGCATCCTCAGTTCTTAGAACCTGGCACAGGGTAGGTGCTCGGGAATTATTCACTGAAGTGTGTGTGAAGGGGCTGAGTCCCTTTGGCTGGGGTGGGAAGGGAACACCAAGGTGATGGCCAAGGGCGACTCACCATTGGCTCGAAACACCTGACTTTATCCATCTCAGACTTGGCCACATGGAGCACCAGCTGGTGCTTGCTGAAGTCCCTGGGGGTCTTCGTGCTCAGGGTCACCAAGGACCCGTCCTTCAGGTCTGGAATGAGAAGGGCATGGCCTGAGACACAGGCCCCTGAGACTACGCCTCCCCGCCCCCCCGCAAGACCACCCTTCATCACGTCACCTGCTTTATTTTCCTTACGCTCTTTCCAGTATTTAAACAATATTTTTCATTTTAGAATTAAAGGAATTCAAGGTTTTGGTCCTCTCCCACTAGGATGAACTTAGGATGTAAGCTTGCCAAAGCAGAAATCACATTTATCTTGTTTGTTGCTCTGTTCTCAGCTCCGAGAAGCATCTAGAACAATGCCTAGCACAAGGCAGGTGCTCAATAGTTATTTGTGGGGTGAGTGAGTGGAAAGTTTTCTCCCCGAGGCCTGCGTGGGAGGTGAGCCAACCTGAATGGTGGCTGGCAAAGGCTTGGGGAGACTGAAGCTGAAGGAGAGTCAGAGGCTGGACAAGCGTCACGTGGTCAAGGGCACTGGAGTGGGCGGGGTTTGAACCCTGGATCTGTGTGGGCTTGGGGAGGTATTTCAGCTCTCCGTCCCTCCTCTGCTTCCTCGTAAATACACAGGGCTAAGCACAGAGCCCACACAGAGGGAAGGGTGCAGTCATATGTGTAAAGTGCATATTATAGCATCTGGCATCCTGGGAGGGTACATACGGGCAGTTTGATTATTACTGTGTGCCAGGCACCGTGTAGAGGCTGCTCCCTGGCATCAGGCCAGGCCAACTCCATGCAACTTTAAAATGCATCCATTTCTAGGCCATTCTAGCAACTCCCCAGGAAGGCAGCAGCTGCTGCCCTGACCAAATGATCCCGCCCCCCTCAGCGCCCTCCTCCAGTGCAGGTCTTCCACCCTGGCCATGCCTCAGAGGTGTGCCAGCAGGGACCCTGTGCCCAACTTGTGCCCCTAAACCTGCCCTGGTGTTGGGATGCCTGGGTTCAAATCCTGAGCCTGTGACTTACTAGCTGTGTGACCCAGAGCAAATTGCTTAACTTTCCCATACCTCAGTTTTTCCATCTGTAAAGTGGGGGTGAGGACCATACATACTTCTGAAACTTGAGCTGAAGGATCAAATGAGTTAAGAATTCGGAACTGGTCCGAGCAGTGCCCAGCCTATGGCAGGGGCTCAGGACTGCTCTGGCGTGAATTTGGGGCTCTAGTCAGGCTTTCATTTTGAATTATTTGGGGGCCCAGGTTTGACCCAAGAGCAGAAGTTTGGGTTGGTTAACGGGCTGGGGATGGAAATTGGGCCCTGGAGGAGCATTGGGAGACTCAGCGTTGCTTCCAGCTCTTCCCTGGCTGCTGTGTGACTTTGGGCAGGTTACTTGCCCTCTCAGGACCCCTGTCCATTCCTTCACCTACATAACAGGCATGCTAAAAAGAACTCGTTTCCAATAACCCTGGTTTCTGAGGGTTGTTACAAGGCTCAGGACAAAAGGCTTCACAAAAAGGCAAAGCTCTATTCCCATTCGTTCTTGGGGGATCTTTACCTTTGCTGTCAAGCTGGTCATCCTTGCAGTCCACAGTGGAAGATTTGGGATTGTCTCTGTCACAGTTCACTAGCAGGATGGCGCCCTGCCCATGAGGGCCCCAGGTCCAGGTCCTCTGTGGACACCCAGCAGAGATGGGGCACACTTAGGAACCTGTGTATGTCCCTCCAACTCCTGGGAAAGCCCAGCCACCTTGCCCTAGCACCTCGATAGCCTTGTGTGATTTACACATTTTGTTCCCACATCAGGTAGTTTTTTGGTCCCAAGAGTGGATTTTTGCCTGCCCCAAAAGTCATAAACAAATTCCATTCATCCACTTAAAAAAAGGAGCCCAAGATAGTAAAACTGACTTCAACAGCTTTTAAAAACTGTTGGATTAGCAAACCAAACTGCGCTAAATATTTGTGTCTAGACTCAAATCTAAACAGCTCCTCTTCTGAGAAGTCTTAATTACTCGTTCACCAAAGTGTGGGCACTATTCTTAGCAGCCGGTTACTGTCTGCCCAAAGATGAAAGCAAATTGGGCAGCCCCTCCCAGCAGAAATCTAATAGTGATGACATCTTCTGTTTGTAGGAGAGCATTCTCCCCCGGGGAATGACTGCATTTTGGGAGGGACCCAAGGATGAATTCCACTCCCAGAGCTGTAATTCTTCCCCCCACTTTTGACTGACCCCACAAAGGGATCTTAATTTTTGACAGGTCATATCATCCTAAAGTGCACACCAGCATATTATGGGGAATTCCCTGGCGGTCCAGTTAGGACTCGATGCTTTCACTGCAGGGGGCACGGGTTCGATCCCTGGTCGGGGAAATACGATCCAGCAAACCACTCAGTGTGGCCAAAATAATAATAAATACATAAATAAATAAAATAAAATAAAGTGCACACCAGCACAAAAATGTGCAGGCAGCTTTGGGGTTTCAGGGACACCCTGAGGTTTATCCACGGACCCCAGTTAAGATGATTCATCACCTGCGTCCCACATCACCCTATATTTCTGCAACATACATTCCCTTCCCCCACCTGGCTCCTTCCCTCCTCGACCCCCTGCCTCTTTTCTTTATTATTCACCTCATGTGAACCTCTCCCACCAGTAGCTAAAGTGTAGTATGGGGGATTTTTTTTTTTTTTTTGGCCGTGCTTTGCGCTTGCGGGATCATATTTCCCCGACCAAGGATGGAACCTGTGCCCCCTGCAGTGAAAGTGTGGAGTCCTAACCATTGGACCGCCAGGGAATTCCCCATAGTATAGGGGATTTTTTGAGCCAGAGTTGAGACCTGCCTGCAAATTTTCTCTCTGCTGTGCATGAACTGGGTGAGTCTAGTTTCCAGTTTGTGGGACAACACATTCTCTGAACCCACAATCGTGAAAATCTAGTTTTGTAGAATAGATGGGACCTATGTAAACCGAAACGGTAATGGTATTCGTGATTTTAATTTTCTTTTTTTTTCCTGTTCTTCTTAAATTTGTTTCTTTTACTATTAACATGGATACATGAGACAGACCGCTGTTCACCTCATCACCACCAGGGGGCGCACTAGGAGAAGCCAGTGGAGTTACGGGAGCATTTGGGGCGCCGGACAAGGTCGAGCCGTACCTGGTCCTTCCTGCCTCCGGTGGACTTCATTTTGCCAGTGCGAGTGAAGTCCGCGCTCAAGGAGATTTCTGAAATCCCGGGGAGTAAGAGGAGAGGGTTAGTGAGGGTGCAAGGTGGGAGCACTCAGTCTGGTCCCAGATGGACAATCCTTTCCCCAGGAGACCTATCTGCACAAAGGCTTCTTTCTCACCAGTTCAGAGGAGACACAGGTTCTAAGACACCCCCACGTCTCCCAAGAAGAAGTCTGGCTGCAATTCTGACAGCAGAGCCGGGGCTTCTAACCACACGCATTCTCCTCTCATGGAGAACCTGCCACAGCTGTGATGCCAACCAGACCCTGCATGTCTGGCCACCCCCAGGGGTCTCAGAAAGAGTTCCCAGCCACCCCAATGGATGTATGGTACGAAGCCCCTGCAAGGACACCTTGCCAGGCTCTCAAAGGCCTCTGGCCCCAACTCCAGCCCCCAGTGACTTTGGGGTAGGGGACACAGTGGTTATTCCAACCCCACCTGGCTCTTCGTTCTGTGTACCGTGACTGCACTGGGGACAAACCACAGCCCCAAACATACCCTGCTCTGTCCAAATGGCATGGCTGAGAGAGCATGTGTTCGCTTCTGAATCCTTCCCCTCTCATCAGAACGCATGACTATACGGTCATTCCAATGACATTGTGTAGCGACCCCGTGAGCTCACAGAATGAGATTGACCTAGATGACATTTTAAACATATCCATAGCCATGTATAGATGTTGGGCCATAGAGCATAGCGCTTGGTGGCCAGAACTTCCTGGCTCCTTTGCTAACCAGCTGTGTAATCTTGGGCAAGTCCCTTTACCTCTTGTACCTCAGTTTCTTCATCTGTAAAATGTGGTAATAATAGTGCCAATTTCATTGGATTGTTGTAAGGTTTAAATGTAAAGTCTGGCATAGAGTAAGTGCTATATAATAATAACAACAACAATAATTATTATTATGAAAATGTGTATTAATGAAATAAATGAATGAAATTCATTAATGAAAAGAAAGCTGAAGCTTTCACCTGCTGTTCATATATTTAATGTATGTTTAAATAGTAATAATAATATTATGATATTATTGTCCCAGATGAAGTCAAGTTAAAAATGTACTTTATTTAAAGAAGAATACTAAATAAATATGAGTATAAGCAGATCACTGATGTGGCAAAAATGGTGAAGATGGGATGTAAATAATGGAGCTTGGGGAACACTGGTCTATATTATCGCGTAAAACAGTCTCAACGGGCTTCCCTGGTGGCACAGTGGTTGAGAGTCCGCCTGCCGATGCGGGGGACACGGGTTCATGCCCCGGGCCGGGAAGATCCCACATGCCGCGGAGCGGCTGGGCCCGTGAGCCATGGCCGCTGAGCCTGCGTACCCAGAGCCTGTGCTCCGCAACGGGAGAGGCCACAACAGTGAGAGGCCCGCGTACCGCAAAAAAAAAAAAAAAAAAAAAAAAAAAAAAA